AGGAAGGGTACCAAAGAACAGAAATTACATAACTTAAGGACTACCAACAGTGGCAACAACTAAAATGGATAGCTCATGTAACTCAAAGGGAAAATAATGACATAATCAACAAAAAAATACTGGAAAAAGCGAAACCTGTAGAGAGGCCTTTGTCCTGTATTATTCTGGCCACTGTTATTTATTTAAAGATATATATATGGCGCCCTCGGTGAGAATGAAAATTTAATGAATAAATAGTTGCACAACATACGTCCTAATAACGTTAATCTTCAATATTTACATTATTCGGACTATTGTCTTCATCTTTGTCGCCATATTTATTACAACGTTTCGGCCGTTATACGCCCCGTCCTTCTTCAGGTGGTTGGAATGTCGAACTGAACCCTTTATTTTGCTGAATGGAGTAGACTGTTCTAATTCCACGTGTCATGTTTTAATGGATGTCAGTTATCAGTTATCTCCTGTTAATTCCCCTCTCCAAGTTCTCCACTGCCTTAACCGGGTATTGAACTCACACTGTTTGGGTCCTGTCGAAACGTTACAATAAATATGGCGACAAAGATTAGGACAATAGTCCGAATAATGTAAATAGTGTACATAATACCTCATCTCAGAAATATAGACAGATACTGAAGGACTGAAACGTTGTGATAAATATGGCGACAAAGATGAGGACAATAGTCCGAATAATGTAAATAGTGTATATAATACCTCATCTCAGAAATATAGACAGATACTGAAGGGCCGAAACGTTGTGATAAATATGGCGACAAAGATGAGGACAATAGTCCGAATAATGGAAAAAATTTACAAAATACCTCATCTCAGAAATATAGACAGATACTGAAGGGCTGAAACTTTGTGATAAATATGACGACAAAGATGAGGACAATAGTCCGAATAATGTAAATAGTGTACATAATACCTCATCTCAGAAATATAGACAGATACTGAAGGGCTGAAACGTTGTGATAAATATGGCGACAAAGGTGAGGACAATAGTCCGAATAATGTAAATAGTGTACATAATACCTCATTTCAGATATATAGACAAATATTAATCTTCAATGACAGATACTGGATCCAGGGCTTGAAAAATTCTTTTGTTTATAAAAAAAAAATTATCTAAAACTGATTTTATATCATTTTAAAGTTAGAGAAATCTGAATAAAATGTATTTCTTGGCCATACCTAACCACATATTTTAAAATGCTACATCATCCTCAGAAATAATAGACAGAAATCTATTAGGGTTAAATGAAAATACAACTGGTATGTGATAAATTTGGCGACAAAGATTGAATTCTGACAAAAAAAATCATTGATTCATGATGAATTCATTAACATTTTGACAAAGTAAAATCAGATCTCAAAATTTATCGAGATGTTCAATTTACCCCGAAATTGCAATATTTTTTTATTTTTATGGCGACAAAAACATCAAATATGTCAAAAACGTCTAATAATGTAAATATACTTTTTGTCAGGCTAAAATTTCGACCTTTCATTTGCCAGATATATAGGACAAATTTTAATTTTCAATGTTTAAAATTTAGACTTTGGATCAAAATGGTTGTAATTTACTATTTTGGATCCAGAGGTATTAGAAAATTGCCTCAAATATCATAACATTATGAGTTGATTTTCTTGTTTATTTTTTATCCGGTCGGTAAAAAAAATACTGTTTATTATAAAATTTATTTTAATATTTGTATCTTAAAGTTAAAAAAAAAAAGAATAAAACATAAAATAAAATATAAAATAATTGTCGGACTTTGTCCATTTCTTGGCCATACCTCAACCACATATTTTAAATGCTATCATCACCTCATAAGAGTGAAAGACTTTGGGCTAAAATAAATATTATGGTTAAATGAAACAGAAAAAAAGATACAACTGAAAAGGAAGTCATTTTTCCAAAACTTTGAATGCCATATAATTGAATTCTGATTGGGAAAAAAAAAATCATTGATTCAAAAACTGATGAATTAATTAAACATTTTGACAAAGTAAAATCAGAATTACTACAAAATTTATCGAGATGTTCGAAAGAGAGGATGAGAATGAAAGAGTGAAATATATCATTATATTATTTTTTTATTTTTATTTTTTAGTATAAAATATATCAAATATGTCAAAAAGATACGTCTAAGATCAACAAACGGATCGTCAGGGAATTCCTGAAAGAATATACTTTTGGAAAATTCTAGGTCTGCTACGGTTAAACCCATTTTAGTTCTTTTACTCATATCAGTTTTTTTTGGGGGTCAGACACTTAGCCCAGAAGTTTTTTTAATGCAGGACCAAATTTTATATTATAGAGACTGTTTAAAAAAATTGATTCCAAATATGCTAGAATTAAATGTTTCAAAACTCAAATGGATCAAAATGGTTGAGTAAATATTTTTGTTGGAATAACTATTTTGGGGTTACAGACAAATGGATATTAGTAGGGTATTAAATTGCCTCAGAATATCAAAAAAAAAACGAAGATTATTAAGCTTTCGTCAGTTGATTTTTACCCAAAATTTTATTTTATTATGAAAGAAAATTGCTTAAAAAAAGGTCTTTCGTGGCGTTTGTTTTTGACGACTCCGGTCGGTAAATTTCGTTAATACTATAATTTATTAAGGGTGTTAGTTGTATTTAATTAAATATTTGTGAATCTGATAAAGAAAAAAAAAAAAAAAAACGATGATAAAAAACATAAAATAAAAATATAAAATAATTTTTCATGGAGGCACAAAAGGGCACATTTTGTTCTAGCCTTGTCAATTTTCCATTTAACATTTGTATTTGTTTCCTTCAAGTGCAAAAATATTTTTGATAGTGAAGTCAGTTATATTAAAGTTCCTATCTATCTATCTATTCTTCGTGGACTATCCTATCTATCTATCTTGGTATCTATCTATTTTCTAATGGGCAGTCTTCTGGGACAGCATATTTTTCCTAGTGCCAAAGACATTTTGTTCAAATCTTAAGAGTGTTTTTTATTATGTGCGAGGATTATCAGAGCAGCTGTAGCTCAATTTTAGGGTGTTCTTATTGAATAACACTGATAAATGATTAATTACAAATGAGGAATGGTTGAACGAGGGATGAGCCGGAAGTGAAACAGAAAAATTTTTTAGGGCATCAGAGTCGAAAAAATGAAAAGGAAGTCTTCTGAAAGAAATCCAAAACGGTGAAATACTGAGAGGAAAACGGGTGAGAGGATAAAGAAAAAAATCAGAAAGTGATTAAACTAAACTTAAAGGTGGAGGACAAAAGACGGCAAAATGTCCAACCTTATAAGAATAAGCTAACCCTTTATACATACAAAACTAAAAAAGGATAAAAACACATAATAAAGAAAATAGAAGGAGGAAACTTGAAACAGGGAAATATTCCAAAACATAAAAGTGAGGCAAAAGGAAAAAATAGCATGAAAATGAGATTAAAGGAAGGACCGGACACGAAAAAAACAGGAAAAAGAAAATCATGGACAGGTTCAAGTAAAGTGAAGATGAAACTAGGACAGAGGGAGGAGAACACGAAAAAAGAGGAAATATTCAATAAGAACACCCTAAAATTGAGCTACAGATAATCTTGAACGCAAATAAAAAAACACAATAATAAGATCTTGAAGGAAAACAGAAAAAAAACAAAATCAGATGATAATAGGAAAAATTATGTAACTGAGAAAACCCAGAAGACTGAAAAAGAAAATAAATGAGGAAAGATGAGAACTCTGTGGGGATACCAATGCACTATTAATTACAGGGCTGATGTTGGGTCCACGAAGAATAATTTCGGTTCTTTTGTAATATAAACAAAAGAAACCAGATATATAAAATATTTTTGGCATATATAAATATATATATATATGACCCATCTATATATATATATATAATCTATTAAATAATAGATACGAGTTAACGGTTTTTGTGGCATCATCAGATTTTTGGTTTGAAAAAAAAAAAAAAAAAAAAAAAAATATATAAACTTGTTTAACGAATAACCCAATCATCAGATTCACTAGAAATTATCCAAACTTGCATACAACATAACACCCTTCATAATACATAGGTTTAAAATACCTTAACTAAAAAGATAACCCTTTATGAAGTCGTCAAAAAACAAACGCTACGAAAGTTTTCTTTTTTACGGTTCCCTTTCATAATAAAATAAAATTTAAATAAACTTAGACAAGTTGTTAAAGCTCGTATCTTCGTTTTTTTTAACTTTGGGCTTGACACCTTGAAAGTATCTCTATACCGCCATCATTTTAACACCCTACACTCGGCAGAAATTCGCCCTAACTGTTGTAGCTTTTTTTCAACTTTTTTAAATTTTCAGATTTTTTCAACAAAAACTCGAAGATTGATTTGATTTCAACTCAATTTAATTTAAAGGATTATATTGAGAGGGTTTTTTTGAAACATGAGACCTCTTATCTAGTTATTTAAATCATATTTAAATAAATAATTATATATATATATATATTTTTATATATATATATATATATATATATATATATTTCATATATATATATATATATATATAAAGAGAGGAAATAGATAGATAGATAGATAGATAGATATAGATGAAATGATACATCTCTGTCTCTGTCTGTCTCTTTGCATCTCCCTCTCTCTCTCTCTATATATATAT